CTTTGGGTTCTTCCACCAAACCGACACGACCCCTAATGGCTCAGGTGATGTCTTTGAGCATTAACTAAAATTGGAAACAAACATTGGCACAATCTCTTACTAGCGTCCAACTCGTGCGTGTTCGGATAACAACAGAATCCTGTGTAGGACTAAAGTGTGTTTCAGTCAAGGTACCTTAATCCCAGAAGACCTCTTTGTCACCTGAGCTTTTTAAGTTCAGAGCGGATTACCGACTTCCGTAGCCAAGATGTCCACTCAATGTTCACAGCACTTTTGGGGGCATTCTGTCGCGAAGACAATCGGATGCACGAGGACTTTGCGTAGCACTAGTGCCCTGGTGTGCAAATGTGTGATTTTCGCAGTCTTCCTAATCCCGATCAAAGTTCTTCTTTTCTAAAAAAACAGCAACTTACAAATAGTTGTCTAGGGGATTTAATCTAGTTTGGCGGCAACTAGATTCCCACTGACTGGTTCACTCTTGTGGTCTAGACGTGAAAATGTTTTCTTTTAAAAAAGAGGTACGACACATGATGGGCTTCTGCGGACTGTGCAACGGATGGTGGACAAGAAAAACGTTCACACGCACCCTCTTCCCATTTGCGTTAGTACTAACCGTTTCAATATTTTCCTTTACCTCATTCGCGTCACCCCCCCTCCGGGTGAGGAATAAAAGTTACATGAAATCTTTACTAACCAGTAATCAGATATATAGGGTGGCCCAGATGTAACCGAAGCCTAATTATTATTAAAATTTACCAATAAGTGGAGCAGTTGTTGTTGTTGTTGCTGCACACTTACAATGAATGTAACAATGGCAGCTATTATTAAAAAAAAACAGATATGACGGCATTCAACAGTGTTACATTAATTCCACTTAATTGTATCGTTATATTAATAGTCAGGGTTCGGTAATGCCCGTGCCAGTCTCTAATGGAAACAAACGGCTGGCAAGGTGCATGCGCCCATGTGCCTGCTTTAGTGGATGACAAGGCCCTTTGAAAATAGCAAAATGCATTTCAGATCATCTGGAATTTCGTGAATTCTTCCAAAATCCATAAAAGTTTGGTTAACTCCGATTTCACACAACTACCAAGACCCTACATTAGCCACAGCCAATCATTGTAAAGGTCGAGTTGACACTCGAAATCACGGCTGGTACATTACACGGCTGCTACAACTTGGTGTGACCATCCCCCATGGGGAAATATTACATGTCCATCAGATTAATGCAGATCGCACCATAGGAAACTGATCACATGCGGGCGGTAATGAGCTAGGAGAGTCGCAAAGAAAGTTGGAGTGTGTTGACACGACAGCGAGTCAAAAAGATTAAAGTAACATATTTGTACTTTTATGCACTTGGGGCCTGGGGCTTACTGTCTGTTTATTTCTGGAAAGAAAACAAAATTGGACAGGGTTTAATCTGGTCTGAGTGAGGATTGCGCAACACGTCGTATCTTGCGAATGATAAAATCCAATAATGCTTCATATAGCATTCTGACTTACTCGTTACTGCAGGTAAATATAATGATTATTATTGTATTCATCACTCCCCCCTATTTCCACATGCCCTGCCCTCCATTCCTTTCCGGGATAGGCTGCGTTCGTCTTCTCCCTCCCTTTTTTGTTCCTCTTTCTCGAAACGTAACATTACATCAAAGGGCGCCCGACAGTGCACGCAACGCTCCGGTTGTGGATTTTAAAGTCCCTTTAATCTTCATGTGTGTACTACGAAGGCCACCACTAGGCACAGGGTCCACTGGATGGAGCATGTTGCGCTCCCAGTCAGTACCATCTCCCTCCAAATCCTCCGCCCTCCCGCCGCCCCGGTGGATCGGCAAGCATGTAGTAGTAAGCGGTCGTCGCGCGCACGCACCGAGATACCGCACGTTAGCACATTCAACTGGAAATGTTGCTGCTGGCGTGCGCTCCCATTGAAGATGCTGCCGACTGGCGTGTGTGCGCAATTGCCGTTGTTCTCATTCCAGTCGTTCCACGCCAGCGTGCGCGTCCTCACTGCGCAGAAAGCGACAACGGCTTTCTATTATTTAGCAGAGAGAGAGAGGGAGGGAGAGAGTGGAGGGGTGGCCTTGGCTGGCGTGACTCGGTATGGGTGGGAGGGAGGCGAATGACTTTCCGTCCTCATCGTTTTTCAACGATGTCCAAGTGAAATTTTAATTTAGGAATGCGCTCTCTTTAATGTATCAAATGAAGGGGATTTAATTAAGGGTTTATTTTCCAGGGCAGTGAATTTATGGTCTGACCCATTGGTGATATTCGTCGAATTATGCAGCTTGATTTATCTATATTATTTATTCTGCTCACACATTTTGTACCAGGACATAATGAAAATCGAAATCCGGAATCCACAGGTTTGGCAAGCAGAGAACGCGTAATGGCCGACAAGTATGCTTGAGGTAAAGTGTGAAGAGTACAAAGCCCAGAAGAAGATGCCATCATCTGATGACATGTTCTGCTAGGTTGACCTGACTGTTTCTTCCTGATTAATTGCTTTTCATCGTATTTTTTCAGAAATGTAGTTTAACAACTCTATCACGTAATTGGTTTTCATTTATGGTATGATGTTAATTAACTTACCTCGCTAAATTTTCAAGATTGCATATTTTTTGACTTTACTTAATGCGTTCCCGTTACATCAAATCATGTCACAGATTAAAAAAAACCATCTGACATGTTCAGGTGCAAGAAAAACCATAAACTGTGTACTGTTCTATCCGACAGCATCAATATCTACAGGAGGCTTAATGATAAGTTAGAACGCCATTAACCATACTGGACAACTCGAAATTTCAAAACCAACTAAAACCAAGATTTAAAAGGCGCCTAAAATGGTGCATAAATAAGCGAGTTTTATTGCTACAATTAAGGCACCATTGTAAACTAACAGTAGGTGATAAGTTGTATACCCTCGAACATGACGATCCCCGGCCAAACAACAAAAATATTCACTTTCCAATTGGTCACTGGCCTGATTTTGTGCGTCAGCTTGGTTCGCATACATGCGTTTAGCCAACATTTAATGCACTACACTGCATGAAATTTTGTTACGACTCCCGGTACACAGATGCAAATTTTCTATCGCAAATAATTGAAACCCATTGTTTGCATGTGATAAGCCTCCCATAGTGGCATTTAGACAAAACACCGATGAGTCCACGCCCCACCCCCTTGTTACCGGACAGGACCTCCTGTCGCAGCCAAAGGCCGGGTGATCTGTCAGGACGTGCCCACTTGCATTAGTCAGGGTCGACCTTGACCAGATGGATCAAGGCGGATTAACCCAGACGGAAACGTTAATGGGGTGTGCTGTGGGTGACTAACCCACTTAAGTAGTGTGGTAAGGGTAGTTGTGTAAACACTGACGAAAGGAAAACCCGCGAGGAACAGTCATGGGGAATACCGATTCCCCAAAACCTTTACAGATTAACCCCTTCGTCGTCAAATTCTTTAGAGTCAGGGAATGCTTGGGCCTTACTGATGCGTATTATTCAGTGTGACCTGCTGTCAGTCATAAAGTTAGACGCAAGACTAAATTCTAAACATATGGCACAATACTAGGAATGTGTAGAGTAACGTCCAGACTCAGACATAACCTGAATCCTAGAAACTTCAGTTGGAATCTAGGACGCACCGTTTCACACTTAAAAGAAACACTAAAAGATATATGTGAGTGAAAAATTGCAATTTATGCAACCCCTCCAAGTAGACACCAGAGGATGTGATGTTATTCTACCAATATTTGAGCCAATGATTACAAATGTTTTTGTACTAACAAATGTACTGTTAATTTTTTCCTATCACTTTTACAATTGTCACAACTAGCTAAATAGCTAACCAAATTCATGCACAATCGACTTTTTTAGTACATATCTATAGGGTGGGAGGAACCTAGATCATGTGTAGATTTCAAACTGGCAAAAATTACTTAAACTCTCCAGGGTATTGTCTAGCCTGAATAAACGAATTTTAAAATCAATTTTCATTAATAACACTTTTGCGGTGACGTCACTAGGATTGTCTTTATTTCTGTCCGATGAAAAAAAGTGGACCCTAATCAATTGAAGGGACAAACTTTGTGTTTAACATAAATTACAATCGAAGATGGGCAAAATGGCTTAAAGCAACAAATTAATCATCTTACACAAAATCGCCACAAGCTCTGATGGAACAGACCGTTTGTGAAATTCCAAATTTTATATTTTTTTAGCACGTGTATTCCCATACAATTTGAGCGAGCTGATAGTTGTTTTACTAGGAGAACGTTATCAGATTCGTTTAACAATATCTCCCCTTGAAGCACAAAATATAATACCTCATTGATTTTTTACTTTAATTTTCTGCTCTGAATTTGAGCGTTCCACAATAAAATGATTAGAGCTTAATTTGGTTACTGTGAATCAACAACAGTGTATTGACTAATCTGACGATTAGCGTTTTAAACCCTCATCAAATTTCGTCACACCACAAAGTGTACGATGACCTTGAAAATTTGGACGCCCCACGGCACCTTACTAAGCCATTTTGCTTCATCGATCTTAAAGGTACACAATTTTAAAACTTTAGTTTCGACCGTGATGTTGTATTTACTCATACCTCTACCACTAAGATTCACGCACAAACTGTAGTTTGTTTTGGTTCTCGATCTCAATTAACGTGAAAATTTTACGGATATTCAGCAATCTGATCGAAGAATTTCAAAATAGTTTTAAATTTCTGAACAAATCAATCATTTGTATTAATTTAAGCACATATGATTTGTGGAAGTCATACAGAAAATCTATTTTCGGTACTAAATACTGTCATGCTAGAGAGAAAAACAACAGGATAATAAAATCATGATTACTTTATTCTTGACTAAAGTCCAAGGTTGCGCATGTTGTTGTCACATTTATTAGAGCATTCTCGAAATCTCGAACTAAACCTAACCAGCAGCCCAATCACGTAAGGATTATTAGTTAAGTGAAATGACATCCACACACTTCATCAAATTACCACTTCTGCACAAATTGGTCATCCAAAGCTTGAGGTGGCCGTTCACAATGCTATGCAGCATAGCTTCACTACTTTCTAACATCTATGTTGTGATAGGCATTGATCCACACTCACTAGTTCATCACTTTAGTCACCTACACAGAGTCCCCCTTCTCGCGGTATGTCGCCAGACGTGCGGACCCTCAACTCCGCCTCACTAGCACGAACATTTATCCTGAATTATCCTCACACCTAGGTCTCGATGCTTGCTCATCTGTGACTCACACATCTGAGGTATAAATACACACACGCAAATGCCATACACGACACAACGACACAAACTTGGCTGAGCACTGGTGTAAACGGCTGTGTCCACGTCCTCTCTAGTCTTCTTCTTCATCGCGGGTATCAGAAAAGCGTAATCGGGCCAGAACCAACTCAATGGCCCCGGCGTGGTTCAAGACGACATGCCGGGGCCCACAACATCTGGCTTTGTTTGCTTGATAAAAAGCACCTTCGTCAGATATTAAAGATAACCAGAGGTCATGGTAATTGTCAATAAAACTTTCTATTTGCTTTTAAAGGCAAGTAAACACTGTAGTGTTAGATGTCCCGAAGCACGTATTAAGCTATCAGAAAATACCAAAACACATTATCGGAAATAGTCATAGACCAAAACCGCTACACTGAGTTGATGTACCCACCCTCTTTTTACCACGGAAAGGTTGAAGTCGATGTCTGTATCTTAGTGGCACATTTGCTGCCACACAATCACTCACCTACAAGTTGCGGAAGAATTTACTGTGCTTTTATAACACTTAGTGGAGGACTATGTGATTTGAAATGTCCATCGGATACAATGCAAACGAGGGTACATTTTTTATAAGTAAATATTTCGATGACATTATGGTAAACAAAACAAACATTTTACTCTTTATAAGACACGAATTCAGATGAGACATTTTTGCTAGGGACGGGTACAGTGTAGATTTGTGGCTCAAAAAGGTGTACTCATTTTTAAGACGGCTTCTGACCTCGGGTAACATCGCAGTCGAGTCTGGGATTTTCCTGATTCCTTTATGCCCTGATTTTCATTATTTTCGTGTCCTATTTTGTATGTTTTAATAGTCAGACGATTGACGCTGCATTAGGCAATCCATGCGCTTTATAACATTATCTTAGAGACAGTTGTGTGTTCTAAGCACTTTTGTTTGGAACAGATGTTTCTAGACTAATGCTGCTCTGTGTTTCAGCAACTATCAGCCAATCAAGTGACTTTGTTCATTAGGCTCAGAAAATTATTTGTTATTCATGCATTCCCAATCATATGGATAAAGCTGCCTCAATGAAGTCACTTGACGCGGTCTTAATGGGACGACTACAAGCCTGAAATTGTCTTTTGTCGAATAACATGTAGTCCACCGAAATTTTGTGGTACTAATTAATTTACCTTTGGCTTTTAGTTAAACACATTCGATGCTTCAGTTCCCAAGTTCAAGGCAAGTGCAACTTCGTCGTGACAAAGAATAATTAAAGAAATGTGTTTTGCAGGTCGCATCGTTTGTGTTCTTGAAAGACACGTCGAATGTAGACTTTTCCGGCTGGTCGAGGTACGTGTGAGGGTTTTGAGCTCAGATTTGATAAACGGTTACGCTTAGTTTCTAAGATAACTGGTCTTTCTAATTAGAAGGCATTACAAGCTTTTTTACCATTACGAGGCTACTGCTATAAGTATTCCGAAAGTGGTAATGATTTGAGAACTTGTGTCATAAAATCATCTTAGGATATTGTTAGCTTGTCAAATTTAGGCAGCTGACATCAGACAGTAAAAGCAATTTCAAGTCAATCGGATGGAAATGTTTGTCTTCCCATCGCAATTTCACATGAATATCAGTTTGATGTTAGTCACGTGGTTATTTTTCTACTAGGTATTGACCATGTAAGTAGTGCAACTGAAATTGCACTATTATTGAAGCAATTTAAAAAAAACAACCAGAGCAATTCGAAGGGTTTTTAGAAAGCGTATGGAGCGTTTGTGTAGGGTAAGTCCATGTAACGGTGCAGCTTAGCTCTATTTATATGAAAATTATCTCCTTCGCCTCAACTGCCTGTCTACATTCCCAAGGCGTCAAGATTTCGT